ATTTGTATTTCATGAAGACAGGGAATCATGCAGGTTTCTAATGAAGTTTAGTTCTGGGAATGTAATGGAGGTAATGGAATCCTCCAAACGAGCTGGAGAGTGATGTCTGAATGTCGTTTGTACTGTATTCAGAGCGAGGCTGATGGGTTTATGGCACCAGATGAAAGTCGCGAGAGTGACGTCTCCTTATGAGACTGTGTTGACACGACGCAGCCTGCTTGTTTTCTTGTGGAAATCTCGTTCTTTTGACAGCAAACGCTGCCTGTTGTTTCGCTGTGCCAGGTGAACCTTTCAAAGCGTGGAGTTACGCTCCTCTCAAAGCGAGGCGGATCTGTATCAGCTCGACTGGCTTTCTCCACAGAGAAGACAAAGAGGCAGCTGAAAGCAGAGAAACAGAGACTGGAGAAAGAAAGCCTTCTCCCAAGTAGGCGCACCACAACTACAACTACAAACACCCGCTACTATCTCACACTATTACCACTATCAATGTATCACATTTATGGCAAATAACATCACAAAACCCATGGTGACCCTGCTGAAAAAAACAACAACAACAGAAACCATCACAGCAATTCTAATGGTTTCCAATACAAATACCACAAATACAAACATTACAAACCATCAATTTTTAACCATTGAATAATGGTTTCGTGTAGTGTGTTTTGGGACACGTTCCATTAGGATTTATTGGTTTTAACAAAAGCCACCAATAATAGGCGACCGATTACCAGTAGAGAGTTTTTTGCTTGAATCACGAGCCCACTCTCCTTCATGTCAGCTTCGGTTTATTACAAGCAAAAATAGATTGCATTAGCGCCCCCTTTTGTCGGCCGTCAATGTCACTTAATCTGACATATATATATATATATATATACAGTATATATATCGGAGATCACGCAGCTCACACACAAACATCAGGAGCAAAGAAACTTGTCAACGCCTGACTTTTATTAATAAAATAGTTTCAATACTGAATCGCTACGCTATATTTTCCAGCAACGAGAGGATAAAATCGCTGTTTTTGAAGTAAACTCATGCATTGTAGAGATGCACAGACACACGTAATAACACTTTCATCTCTCTCTCTCTCAAAATGGCCATATTTGAGAAAAAAGTTTAGTGATTTCTATTTATTGGGGGGACTCGCCCCTCTCAAGACATTGAGGCCCTGATCAGACATGAAAGTATATGTTGTAGGACTATCGTGCAGTCAGTTAATGATTTAACGTTTTTTTTTGCAAACATTTCTTTGAATAACATGACTGTAAATATAAACACAAGATTGAATGTAACATAAAACAAATGATTACTTTTCATTAAAATCTTTATTAATGCCAAAAATGTTTACATTTATGTTGTTCGCGCATGCAGACGTGTTGCCGCTGTAGCTGGTTTACGCTGATAATTCCCTTCGTTTGAAGTGCGGTCCTGAAAAATCTTCATTTGAAGGCCTATCTGGCCCTCTCCCTGCCCTTATGCCTCCAACCAAAAGAGAATCGAGACACACTACCCCTTCACGTGAACGCGCAAAACAGAGGGGTATGGAGTAGAAATGGGATTGGGTCTAAATATGAGGAGTGCAGAAATAAAGCAAATTTTTTCTTCAAGTCATGTCAGGCTGATCAAATGTATGAGATGAGTGCACATGGAAGCTCTTAGCCCCCGCAATCACGAAATTATATGTATGCAAAGTTTTTTGAATGGAATACTTTTTAATAAAAGTATTCCCAAAGAAAAAGATTGGAATGCATTAACTTTAAAGTATTTTTTTTTTAGGGTCTGCAAAAGTCAACCTTATGCATCAATTTGATTATTATCACAGTTGATTGGTCATGAACATGACAACTCACTGCGTGATGAAGCCTGTAGAATGCAGGTATATGCCCCTAAGAATAAAGAGATTGGGGCAAAAATGCCCCTGCATGAGTTTTTGTCTCATATTTATGTCATATGATATATAGTTAAGACCTAAGATAAAAAACATTCTGTAATACGCCCCCTGTTGTATAAAATTAATATCAAATTTGCCCTTGTGCTATTTGGGACGAAAACAGCACTTGTGTGATATTGCACTCGTTGCTCGTGTGATGAAGAACAGCTATAAAGCTTGAGCAAATACTTCTCACTTAAGCCGTCTATTATTCGAAAGGCTTGAGTGACAATATTCCCTTCATCCTCTGTGGCTGCATCAGAAACACCGGTAACACTTTAGTATAGGGACCAATTCTCACTATCAACTAGTTGCTTATTAACATGCCTATTATTAACATTGTGGCTGTTTATTGGTATTATAAAGCACATAGTCTGCTTCCCTAATCCTACACAATACCTAAACTTAACAACTACCTTACTAACTATTAATAAGCAGCACATTAGAAGTTCATTGAGGAAAAAGTCAAACTTAATGGTGTTAATAGTGAGAATTGGACATTACAATAAAGTGTGAACACCTTGTAAAGCTTCATGTGTTTGTGTGCATGTGAGAAATACATTCTTATGTGACTGTAGAATTTATGAAGCAGCATCGAGGCGTCAGTGTTTAGATGGTTAGCTTTAGCAGTTAGCATTTGCTGGTGTTTGTGGAAGCCTGGAATAAAGATGGAATAAAAAAAGTAGCTGCGACTTTATTTCACAATCAGACTTTTTTCCCCCTCTTACAATTCTAAGTTTATGTCTCACAATTCAGAGTCAGACTCTCTTGCAATTTTGAACAATGTAGTCTGCTTTGTGATATATAAACTTGAGATGTAGACTCATTTACATTACAAAACTTTTTTATGAATTTTGGCCGTTCGTTTACACAACAGCAGCAGTTTTTGGGGCCTGAAAATGCAAACGTAAATGTGCACGTTTTTGAAAATATAGCTTGGTCTCATTGTTTATACGTCGATATTAACACGTAACATTTACAAGCACTAAACATACATTTTTGTAAGTTTTTATTGATGCTAAAACTTACAATTTAGATGTATTTCAATGTTTAAAACGTACAAATCCCTACATTCTTTTTTTGCTAAAAACATAAAATATTTACATATATTTTTTATCATTAAAATATTTGTATCAATGCATTTTTATAATTTTATCGAAAAGGGATTACAATTTTTTAGACCCCTTAACCTACCCCCAAAGCTAAACCTGCCCATTCTATAGTGAATACATAAATATATAAAACATAACTCACCGAAATATGCAGGGAAATGACCATTTTAGTAACTATATAGCATTAAAAATATATTTTTATAGTCACTAATCCCACTCCTACCTCTAAACCTAACCATATGTTTGTATAGTATAAGAAAAACATGACAGACAGATAAATGCAATTACAATAATTTATTTATTGCAAAAATGTCAAAAGCAGAAACACGACATGTTGCAATCTTTTGCGTTTTTGGTCTATTTCATGGTTCTATTGTCAGTCACAGTATGTCGGAGAAAACGCCTGTTGTGTCCCATGGCAAAATCAAGTTAATATTACATAATAAGTAATGGTTAAACAATTGCAGAAATTGTAAATTTTTAGGGTTTAAAGTGTAGTCTTGTTTAACATGCTGTAGGCCTAAAAGGATTTTTAGGTGTCGTAAATATGTCAGTATTGTACGTTAAAATGCTGAAAATACATATTTGTAAGTTTAGGTGCTGTAAATATGTCAGTACGTTTTAGTGTCGGTGAAAATGTAAGTAAATGTACTTTTTGTAGAACCATTTTACGTAAAATGCATACGAATTATCATGAGATCACGCTGGAAAATCACAGTGTTACCTTATCTGTGTAAATGATAAAAACACGAATGTGTTGTCGTGTGCGTGTGTTTTACATGTTCAGTCTATAGGTATGTGCACAGGTGCGTAGTGCTTCTTTACAAAGAGACATCGCCACCTACTGGCCTGGCATGCACAATACAGCGTTTTCTGTCATTTTCGCAGATGTGTGATCAGGAATCACTTTGACAACATTGTTATCTGTATGTGAAACTTTCTAAAAACAGTAAGGAAAAACTTGTGTGTTTTGTGTCAATTGTCGCGTTAACATACCCTCAGAATCCTGAATTCCTCACACTTCTGATGCATTTTCTGTAAATTGAGTTTACATCTCACAATTGATTGTTTACAGGTTTTTTTTTTTACATTTTCTTAAACATTTTTAGCAACAAATCACACTTTATTTATACTACAGAATATGTTTTACCATATTATATCTCTGGCAAAAGTACTCTCTTAAGGAGCAATCACATTTCATGTTGAACAGGTGAAATCCAGTGATTTCAAGGCCACACACTGCCAATAAAAGTCACTAAAAATACAACACAACGTTCCTTGTTAATATGAAGAAATTTTCCATATTGATTTTTCACAGGTGTATGAATTATACGTGACATTGTGTTTTGTTTGAGGGTTGATGGAAATGTCCATAAATGGAAAACACTGGTAATTTCCATGTTTTTACAGATTTAGAACTTTTTTTTTATGTCATATAGATTTGAAAAAGTATGATTTTTAGAAAAAAGTAAATAAATATGCAGAATGTACAGAAACGTATGAATGAGACCAATTCATACAACTTAGCCACCAATTCGCCAAAATGTAAACTACTTATGAATTACCATGGGATTGTGTTGTTTGTTTTCTTATAGTCCACTAATATGACATTCATTTGCTGAAAAAAAACAAAAAAAAACATCAGTCCGGTAAACCTTTCTAGAGCCTCACATATGCCACACAAACTGCTGCAGCAATAGTTTGACGCATTGTTTACTCAAGTTTTGTCAACAAGTGACAAGAACACTTGTTAACTACATTATAAGAGCCAAAATCAATCATCAGCAACATCTGTCTGGAGTCACACCGAGAGCGGTTGTCAAATACAATAATTTCCTTCATATACATATATTCACACGTTGTTTCACAGGCCTCTCGCCTCTCCACAGGCCTGAATAATTCATGACTCACACAACAGTGTGTCTGTGCCCAGCAGTAAATGATATCATCCCTCTGGGCATTAACAAGCTTTCTCAGCATAAGTATGTTGCTATACCACATTTGACATGTTTCAACAATCTGTCAATGCAGAGAGCCAATTGAAACAGTGAAGTGGTGTAGAGTTGGTACTCACACAAAATGTATTGTGTACCAGTGGATTTGTGTGGAGAAAACCGGTTCAATGGGTTCAGGAGATGCTAGAAGTAAATGATGTCTCTCGCATGTACAGTTATGGATGCGTCGCTCCACTAATGAACTCTTTCA